ATGGCAGACTTAATGCCTGATGGCATTCTCTACCAGTCAACAGTCGCGTTGATCAGAGATAATAATAATAATGAAATATATAGAAATAGAAAATCATTTATTCAAATAAACTTACATTGAAGCACTTTTGAATAGTCATTACATTTTTTTTAAACTACCGCTATGTATAATGTATAGATGAAATAAATAATTGTGAAAAATAATATCATAAAAAGGGACTTACGTCGCTTTGCATCGTATCCGGACTAGAGGCGACCCTAATTCGTTACTTGCCGCTGTGTGCGTGTGTATATTTGTGTGTATTGATAAAATGTAAGGGTTGCCACTTTGTATCTATTTTTATTATTATTATTATTTATTTATTTAACACTAGTCTTTACACGCGACTTGTCTTCTCAAATTTTCACCCTTAATATGTATATATATTTTTCATATAGGCGACAAACAAACTAAAAAGTAAAGGTTGTTACTTCGTATCTATTTATTATTATTTATTCATTTAACACCATCAACAAGCTCAGAGTCACTCAGAGGGCAATGGAGAGGGCTATGCTCGGAGTTACTCTGCGTGATCGAATCAGAAATGAGGAGATCCGCAGAAGAACCAGAGTGACCGACATAGCCCGAAGAATTGCGACTCTGAAGTGGCAATGGGCAGGGCACAGTTCGTAGGACAGATGGCCGTTGGAGCAAAGTCCTCGAGTGGCGACCGCGGACCGGAAGACGCAGCGTAGGTCGAATCTCGAAATTCGAGATTCGACCTACAACCTAAAAATCGAATTTCGAATTTAGAACATTTACCATTGTAAAAGTTACAAATAAATACATTTAAAAATCGAATTTCGAATTTAGAACATTTACCATTGTAAAAGTTACAAATAAATACATTTAAAAATCGAATTTCGAATTTAGAACATTTACCATTGTAAAAGTTACAAATAAATACATTTAAAAATCGAATTTCGAATTTAGAACAATCACCATTATAAAAATCACAAATATATCGATTTGTAATTCGAATTACGAATTCCAAATTCGAATTTAGAACATTCACAATTATAAAAGTCACAAATAGATTTAAAATCAATTATGCTACATTGTATTTTATAAGTTAAAAATAACGCTAACAATCCAAAACGTACATAAATTAGAAATTCTGTCAATTTATTGATGTTTTGGATGTAGAATATGTGTACATATGAATACGTGTACAAAATGCAATAATTTTGCAATAGCAAATTCGAATTTAGAATAATCACAATTATAGAATTCACAATGAATACATTTGCAATAAACGAATAGCAAATTCGAATTTAGAATAATCACAATTATAGAATTCACAATGAATACATTTGCAATAAACGAATAGCAAATTCGAATTTAGAATAATCACCATTATAGAATTCACAATGAATACATTTGCAATAAACGAATAGCAAATTCGAATTTAGAATAATCACCATTATAGAATTCACAATGAATACATTTGCAATAAGCGAATAGCAAATTCGAATTTAGAATAATCACAATTATAGAATTCACAAATAAATTAATAATAATAATAATAACAGCATCACCCAGCCCTGTACAGTTTAGTTTGCATTCCGCTCGTTCGCCGACACGCGCGCACAATCAAGTACAATACCAGACTACCACGAAAGAATTGTATGGATATGACTATGCATTTATTTTGGACGACTTTAAAAAAAAATACAAAGCTGACTAAAATAACTTATTTGTGCAGACCACGATCTGATAGGTTTTTATAATGTGAACAAGAAGAAAATATACCTACTAAATAATGTATTTAAATGCAATAATTGTTATATATAATTTTTTTTAATATATATATATATTACGCAATTTTGTACCAAATAAACGTTTGTGAAAATCGCTATCAGTTACGTTCGTTATTTATGTTAAAAACAACATTTATTTAAAAGAACAACACGCAAGTTTCTCGCTCGTTCTTCTTGTGATGACGCTATATTCCGAATGAGTGGTAGAATAAAAAAAATTATCTATTCAAAAGTACTTATATTAAGTTTATTTCAATTAAGACTATTTTTATTTTATATTCTTTATTGCACAGATAATACAAAGATATTATAATTTAGGGATAATGTGAGCAAAGGTGGACTTATCCCTAGAAGAAATCTCTTCCAGTCAACCTAAAACAGTGGGATATGTGGTACTGAGTGGGTAATAACTGGTGCAAACAAAAAAAAATGTCAAACGCTATATACTAAATAAAATTAAAATTTTATGTCTATTTAAATAATTGTTGATAACAAATTTCGTAAAATATCGCCCCGGCTTCGCACGGGTGTACATGTATTATATATATAAACCTTCCTCTTGAATCTGTCTATCTATTTAAAAAAACCGCTTCATAATTGTAGTAGCGGAAGATAACAAATTGCGTCCAATTATATATATAAATAATAACCCATGTTGAATCACACAGCGCTATCTAGTCCTAAAATCAGCTCGTAACTAAATTGTATAGGGTACTAATCAACTGTTAGAAATAATTCATTTATTTTCTAAAAAAAATTGTACGTAACATATATAGAAAACACCCCGACCAATACAAACAATCACACTCATGAATACAAATGTTTGTATGGTGCGAGGAATCGAACCTGTAGTAAACTGTATCAATATTATTCCTAACACATAAAAATTTATAATCATTACATAGTATAAAACAAAGTCGCTGTCACTGTCTGTCCCTATATAAGCTTAAATCTTTAAAACTACGCAACGGATTTTGAGGTGGTTTATTTTTAATAGATAGAGTGATTCAAAAGGAAGATATATTATGTCATACATGTACACCCCTGCGAAGCCGGGGCGAGTAGATAGCAACGGCGGTTCCAGAGGGTCATGGGGGTCATGACCCCCTCTGAGCCCAGGACTTAGATGGACCACTAATTGAAAATAATGATTTTATTTTGTCACCATACAGATTTTATTAATATTTTTAAGTACAGTACTTACGTACATTAATAAAATACCTACTTTTTACTTGTATCTATTGTTATCAATATTAAATAATAAGTTCTTGACTTGACCACGACTATGTGACCCCCTCCTGGTGCCAAAGGATACACTCTTGGTAGCTAGTTGTATAAAATATTATGATCCATACTATTCTATCGCTAACTCACACAAGCGCACAGATAACCTAACATTACAAATCGCTATATACCAATAACTTATACATTATGTAAGTACACGCACACAACCGCGCGTCGAACGCACACGAGCGCGGGAAAGTTTTTAATTTTAAAATCGTACAGAACGTTATGTAGTCGTTAAGTAGCTCTGTGTTGTTAGTAATTTGTTTAGAATGACGTTTTTAAATATAAATTGTTCTAAATTTAAATATTTTTGTTTATATATAGAACATTGATTTATATTTGAATAAATTTTGGCGCCATTATTTATGTAAGCATTATATATAGTAGGCATGTGTCACTTCATTAGGAACACATAAGGAATAGAAACATTTTTGTATTAATCTGTGTTACTTTTTTTTCTGAACGGCATATATGGAATTTGAAATATTTGCATGTCGTCACTTTGAGGGTTTTGTCCGGATATGCAAGCGTGACTCGTTAAAAGCAAAATATTCCTTTTGTGAACCGAGCAAGGTCTACTTTTCTTTTTTATATTTCGAGATACATTGATTTTTGAATATAGAATTTTGGTTAAATTCTAATAAAGGACAACGTTATTTAACATATATGGTGTTATTTACTTAATCTGTGGTTCGACCACAGACTACACTCCTAAATAGTAGCTCAGAGATAAGAGAACATTACATACTCTATACCCGCGGTTTGCCCGTGCCCGTATAGCTTTATTTATTTCTTAGTGATCTTTATGGAATGAAATTCTTAATTATATATAAGGAAAATAAAGTAGATTTCGTCAGCCAATAAATATATATATATTTTGCCTATACCAAATAAAAAAATAGTGTTTTTTCTAATATATATAGATACATATTTCAAATTTATCTAATAATAAAGTAACAAACAGATTGTTTACTAATTCTAAAAAAGAATGATGTAAAATTTGATATTTTTTTTTATAAGCATTTATTGTTTAGAACGAATTTTTTTTAATAGTTCCGTTCTAAGAGGGGCAGGGAACGTAGAGAAAGGGTAATAGATCACGGCTAGCAATGCTCTGACTCAGGTAGACCTCCACGCGGTCCCTCCGGAAAACCATAATACGACACGATGGGCTAAACCACTCATCCTACTTTCACAACTGGTGCTCTGCTAATACCATTAGTGCAAAGGAAACACCATTACAGCATCAACTTTTAAAAAAGAATTATAGAAGGATTCAAGCCACGTTGAAGTAATATAAGCTAGTAAATGAATTTAGAATCACAAGTAGTGACATCTAGGTTCTAATTAGAGATTTGCGTAGTTCAATGTTTTGTTCTGAAATAACTTCGACGACTTTCACTAGATGGCGCCACAAGAAATAAAGTATAATATTTTGTCAAATGAAATGTCGCTAGTAACATTATATTTTGTTATAAATGTATTTTGGTTTGATTTTTATTCTTTATTAATTAATAATTTTATTCTTTGCTCAATTTGGTAAAAGAATTCAATCGGTTTAATGGCTTCTATAACCGAACTTATTTGGATATATATTTATTTTGGGAATTGCGCTAAAGTTCGTTCTGAATATTTATTCGCAACATAAATATTGCCTTTTAATATACATAAGATTATTACATAAATATATTATGAATACTAATTTAAAATTTATAAAATGTATATTACATTATGATTGAATATATTGTATAAAATTTAAAGGAATTCATATAAAATATGGTTTTTATTTCCGTTGAAATTGATGGATACTGTTCTATTGTATGTTTTAAACATACGTCCATGAATAAACGTCAACCAGTCAGGCATGACATGACTCTTAAATTTATTCGCGTAAACTTCTATTGATGTATGAGATTTCGACACATTAATTGTTTGTTATTGTCGCATTATTGCGAATTTGCGAATTGTTTTATAAATGTTTTATTATTTATAATACAGTGTCTAGTGTTCATATAATTATTAAGTGTTTAAAATTAAAAAGCAGCCGTGGATCCCAATATTAGTGGTTTGTTTTTATATTTACTTCGCAGTGCGGTGCATTTCCAAATTTAATTTTGTGAGCGGATATAATTTAATCAAATGTAAAACTTTTAATATTAATAATTAGCTAAATAAATAATGAAATTAATGTATCGTAATAAATTTATCGCAAATATATTATTTTGTATATATCTATAAATAACTTTATAGATTAATTTCTAATATTTTAAATAGTAAATATTTGATTTTTTGTTTATAATACGTAAGCCCAAAGACGAATAAATCGATTAGATATTCTTTAATATATATAAAAACTACATTATCGGTAAATAACGTGGGTTGTCTTTCACGTGGGTAGTGCGATGTTAAATTATTATTTTACATATGAATGATATTTATAGTATTAAAACAAATATTTTTTTTAAGCGATGATAATGTAATGGTGCACCTGCCTGCGCTAATGGTATACGCTGGCGGGGCACCAGTGGAGGATGATAAGATGAACATGAGTTCAGTTCAGTTAGCACATTGTGACAAATTTCGGTGCAGCGGGTCTAGAATAATCTTTTAGTAATTGTCATTTATTGATTCCAGTTGAAATGTGCACCCCGGAGACGTGGAGGGGAGGCGGAGTGGCCCGCTCTCCCTCCCATGAGTCCGTCACCACAGAGCTGTCGTTGTTCAGTGTATCATCGGCTGCCTCAGATGCTAGAGTGCTCAAGTTGTTGGCTTGCAAGGTATTCATTTCTTATTTTATTTTTATAGCTTTAACTTCCACATAATATTTCTCAAACATATAGTTATTAATGATGCACCAGGCTGCAACGGTATACGCTGGCGGGGCATCTGTGGAAGATGACAAGATGAGAATGAGGTCAAGTCAGTTAGCATATTGTGACAAATTCATCAGGAATTTACCACCATGGCTTTCAGTGTCCACCGTGTGGAGGTCAACCTGACATGACATTGCTAGCAATGAGGTTATCAATCCACATTACTAACAAGCGTAAGCTATTAGTGCAGGCGACTACAACATTCCATTATCATCATTAAAAAAAATGCTCGTTGCAGGCTGGACAGGGTCCAGATCCATCGCTGAGGGTAGCCAGTCCAAATCCGGACAGCAAAACTTTAAGGTGAGTAGTCTGAATTTTATTTGATCTTTGTAGTACTTTTTCTATAAAAGCCAGTTTATTTACAATGTATATTTATATAGGTGTCTATGTCTAACATTAAATGAAAATCCAGTGCATGAACAACTATTGCCATGCACGCTCGTCATTCAAGTAATCGGTTAGTGAGTAAGGCTTTGCTCAGTAAATATGATTTAACAGATGTTTTGAATTTATTTATGAGTAATTCCAGTACCCAGACTGTTGAGTCTGAGCTTTCTTACGGATATTAAGTATTGTAGTCAGTACTTAGATAATATTTTTTTTTAGGTTAGGGTACGGTGATAAAATGTCTATCTATGTATGGTGATGAAACGTCTATGTATGGTGACGAAACGTCTGTGTATGGTGACGAAACGTCTGTGTATGGTGATGAAATATATTTATGTCTGGTGAGGAAACATCTATCATCTATCAATTTCTGGTGATGAAACATGTACGTGTGTATGGTGTGCAGGACGCAGTCGTCGCTGCGGCTGCAGGCGGACCCGTGCGGCGAGGTGCTGGCGAGCTGCGGGGCGCTGTGCGGCCAGCTCGGGCTCCGCCGGGCCTTCAGTGCTGGAGACGTGGCCGCCGCACACACGCACCACCACGTGCGCAGGTATGTTTTGTTTGTAACACTGGTGCAACATGAATTAGTAATTTGAGTGATTGTTGACTTAAAGCCTAGAAATTCGAATACATTAATATTGATATAATATAATAATAATCTCAGGACAATTCACACAGCGCCATCTAGACCCAAGTTAAGGTAGCTAAAGCTTGTGTTATGGGTACTAGATAACTGATACAAATACTTACATAGATATTTTTTTAAATACATACATCATGATTACATAGTATAAAACAAAGTCACTGTCGCTGTCTGTCCCTATGTATGCGTAAATCTTTAAAACTACGCAACGGGTTTTGAAGCGGTTATTTTTAATAGCTACGAGTGATTCAAGAGGAAGACTTATATATATAATACATGTACACCTGGGCGAAACCGGGGCGACTAGTTAGTAATAAGACATAGAAAACACTCAGACCGATACAAACAATCATACTCATGAATATAAATATTGGTACCGTGCAAGGAATCGAATCCGCGACCTTCGAAACTAGTGTGTTTAACCACTCTACCACAGAGGCCGTCAAATTTATTCTTTCTTTTATAAAATGTTCGTTCTTTCTTTCTTCTTTCTTTGATTTACTACATTGTGCTATATTTCGTATATATATTTATAGTGCAACGTCAGAAGTCGGTCTGTGCGCTGCGTTGGAGGCGCTCACCCTCAGCGCAGCCTCCAGATCTTGCAGCACGTGGGTTGCTGGTATGTACTGACAGACACATCAAAAATTAAAAAAAAAACTTTTATTAAAAAAAAATGTATAAATATACTAAATGACATTGTTGTTTTAATGGTTTTCTTAAGAGCTCACAACACGCACGTGATACCTAGGTGTTTCAGGTGTCCATAGGCTTCGATAACCGTTTACCATCAGATGAGCCGTATGTTTGTTTACCATCATTGTATAAAAAAAATTTTTTTTTTTATATAACACGGGACAAACGAGCTCGCGGCTCACCTGATGGTAAGTGACTACCGCCGCCCATGAGCACCCGCAACACCAGGGGAACTGCAAGCACGTTGTCGGCCTTTTAAAAAGGAATAAGCTCTTTTCTTGAAGGTTTCAATATCGTATCGGTTCGGAAATACCATTGCTGGAAGGTGATTCCACAATGTGGTTGTGCGCGGCAAAGTTTCTAGAAAACCGCACTGTGGAGGACCCCGTTCATCCAGATGATCAGGATGGTATTTCAGTTTCCGGCGGGTGGTACGGTGTTGAAACTCAGCAGCTGGTATTAATCCGAACAATTCCTCAGAACACTCCCCGTGATATATGCGGTAGAAAATGCAGAGGTGCAATATCTCGCCGCAAAGCCAATGGGTCGAGTCTGTCACATAGACGTTGATTACCAATGTATATAATTGCAGTGGGGGGCTCCCAGCTGCCGTCGCCTCAACGGTCACATCCGATGCTACCACCTCACCGTCCGGTGCCCATAGACAACAGAAAGGTAAACATGTCTTACTAATATTATTGTTAAAGTTTAAATAAATTGTAATCATTGAAACAATAGTGTTTGCATTCATCGCCAATAGATGGCGCTGGATCAAAATTGAAACGCGCTAATGTTTCGTTTTATTAATTTATCATATGTTATTTGTAATATTAAAGTACTTGCTTCCACCGATCGTTTCCCTGTCCAATTCAAACGGGGACCGATGTTACGACGACCTGAACCGTGGGCTAATTATGTAACTTCGTTCGCAACGATTTTCGTATGTAACGTAGTGAAAATGACGTCATCTGTCAATAATGCGATCATATAGACGCCATTTGACGCTGTCAACTAGCATTGCAACGTAAACGCAACTTTACATATCGATAAAAATTATTTCTATCGAATGTCGATTTAGTAACCTCGTTGCAACGTCACGTAATCGCTATTTTGCCGAAATGACAGCGTGGAATTGAAACGGTTTTTACATTATGAGAAACAATTTAGAAGGTGTTTCTTTTGGTTACAATCTTTAAAATATCAGCATTAGCAGCATTATTTATCTTGTTTTGGTAATTTTCAGTATTACATATATTTTTATTATATTAAATATTACGTAGAAAGTCGTGAAAAGGTTTTAAATTTATTAAAATGGGAAAATTGTCACGACTCACAACACGACATCAGTGTTGCCAATTCGATATTTTATTTTCGTCCCAAATCACATAGAATGTTGTATTAACTAGAGTAAATGTTTAATATAAAATTAGGGTTGATTATGATATTAATATAATTAAAAAACTATTTCAATGAATACGGTGCTCTGTGAACGGAATACAACGTTTATGATGCTCTGTGATTTGTTTAAAGTAAATAAATTTATTTGTTTAAAGTTTTTACAATTATGTACAAATTTAAAAAGATGTGCCCATATCATTTTAAATTTATATGGATACCTACATACTTAGCTAGGTATCTATAGCAGAAAAGAAAATTTAATTTGTAGGTTAGATTAATATTATTAATGATTATAAATAGTTTGTATAAAATATGCTTTTATATTCAAAATTATTAACCTTATTTTTTCATTAGAATAGAATAGACTTTCTTTATTTTATTTTATTAAATGTCTATTAATAAAATTAAAATAAAAGAACAAGTGAACGCTACAGTATATTTTGTAATTTTTGAACGCAATAAAAATTGTTTCAAATCAACCAACTAGTGTAACAACCCAATAAATTAAAATGTATCCCTCTAAAGGTGTAAGCTATCTAATGTACTGACTTTTTAAATTGGTCGGATTAACAATATTCCGCTGCAACTTCATAGTAGTGTTTTATCGATAGAAATGATTTATGTTGCGGTCATTCGACCTTACTTGATCGCATTTTTTAAATTGAAATGATTTCATATTGCATCACAACTTCAACAGAAACAATTTCATATCGTGTTACATAATTAGCCCACCGAGGTTCGAAAAAACAACTAGATGACCAATGATGAACCCCTGGGGGTCGATATAGTAGACCACTTTGGGAATCACTGGTCTATGCGAACATATTTTCAAAATTCAAATTTATATTAAAAAATAATTTATTCATGTAGGATATTTTATCCGCTTATGAACGTCAAGTTCTTACATTATAATTTTTTTTCCCTACCGTCCAGTTCGGTATATAGATCCAATTGAGAAGAACTGGCAAGAAACTCAATTGAATTACTTTTTTTTAAAAGCCAGTTTATTTACAATGCATAGGTATTTATATAGGTGTCTATGTCTAACATTAAATGAAAATCCCGAACATGAACAACTATTGCCATGCACGCTCGTCATTCAAGTAATCGTTTAGTGAGTAATAGGCCTTGCTCAGTAAATATGATTTAACAGATGTTTTGAATTTATTTAAGGGTAATTCCAATATATCCTTTGGTATCTTATTGTAAAATTTTATACCTATTCCCATAAAAGAACTATTGACTTTTTCTAAACGATACTTGGGGACAGCAAGTTTGTCTTTAAATTTAGTATTAATATTATGAATATTGCTGTTATATTATATTATAATATTGCTGAAATAAGTCAAGATTTTATGAACATATAGGATATTTGAATATATAAATTGAGAACCAACGGTGAGAATATTTGCCTCTTTGAATTTCTCTCTTAATGAGTCACGACTCTTCATACAGTAGATCGCTCGAATGGCACGTTTTTGTAATATGAATATATTTTTAATATCTGCCGCTTTTCCCCATAATAATATTCCATAAGAGAGTAAACTATGAAAATAACTGAAATAGACCAATCTAGCAGTATCAGTATCAGTGTACTGTCTTACCTTACGCACGGCAAAAGCAGCCGAACTCAGTTTCGCTGCAAGACTTTGAGTTTGTGCACCCCATTGTATTTTATAATCTAATGTGATTCCTAGAAAGACAGTAGACTCTATAAATTCGAGAGATTCGTCATTTAATTTTATGTTGCAATTAGTATTAAAACTTTTAGACAGAGAAAAATTAACACATTTTGTTTTTTTAGCGTTTAACATAAGATTGTTAGTTGTAAACCAGTGCAGGAGACGCCGCAAAGCACTATTTACATCGTCATAATTATTAGTCATTCTATTAACTTTAAAAATCAATGAAGTATCATCTGCAAATAACACTATCCCGCATCTATCCTGCATGGCATATGGGAGATCATTTATGTATACTAGGAATAAAAATGGTCCGAGAATAGATCCTTGAGGTACACCCATTTGCACAAGTGACCCGTCAGACATAGCGCTGCTAACCTTTACAAGGGACGCCGCAAAGCACTATTTACATCGTCATAATGATTAGTCATTCTATTAACTTTAAAAATCAATGAAGTATCGTCTGCAAATAATACTATGCCGCATCTATCCTGCATGGCATATGGGAGATCATTTATGTATACTAGGAATAAAAATGGTCCGAGAACAGATCCTTGAGGTACACCCATTTGCACAAGTGACCCGTCAGACGTAGCGCTGCTAACCTTTACAAGGGACGCCGCAAAGCACTATTTACATCGTCATAATTATTAGTCATTCTATTAACTTTAAAAATCAATGAAGTATCGTCTGCAAATAATACTATCCCGCATCTATCCTGCATGGCATATGGGAGATCATTTATGTATACTAGGAATAAAAATGGTCCGAGTATAGATCCTTGAGGTACACCCATTTGCACAAGTGACCCGTCAGACATAGCGCTGCTAACCTTTACAAGGGACGCCGCAAAGCACTATTTACATCGTCATAATTATAAGTCATTCTATTAATATTAATATAACGAAAGCATTTTCATTTTATACTGTGCAAGGTTTTAATGAATTTAATTTTATATATTTTGTTTGTAGGTCCGTCAAAACTATATCAAGAGACGTCTCCTGACCACGTACAGGGCGCTGGAGAGAATGTCCCAATCGGAATTTAACTTGGACAGGCTCGAGGTATGGTTTTTTTCTGATTATGATGGTACTAGCTACTCGCCCCGGCTTCGCACGGGTGTACATGTATTATATATGAACCTTCCTCTAGAATCACTCTATCTATTAAAAAAACCGCTTCAAAATCCGTTGCGTAGTTTTAAAGATTTAAGTATACATAGGGACAGACAGCGACAGCGACTTTGTTTTATACTATGTAGTGGTGATGATGAGGATGATGAGTTTATAAATATAATTATCAGCTGAGCCGTATGCTTAGGACCTATTTTTTTTAGGACAATTCACACAGCGCCTATACCCAAGTTAAGCTAGCTAAAGCTTGTGTTATGGGTACTAGATAACTGATACAGATATATAGATATTTTTTTTTGTAAATACATACATATTATACATAGAAAACATCTAGACCGATACAAACAATCATACTCATGAATACAAATGTTTGTGCCGTGCGAGGAATCGAACCCGCGACCATCGATCGTAAAGCGGTGTGCTAGACCGCTAGACCACCGAGGTCGTCATACCTATGCATAACAAACGTCATACCACAGATAAGATAATAATACATACATAAAATAGTGTTAATTAATTTTTTAAATTTAAAGTGTGACGAGTTACCGTTCCTTGTCACACTATGTCACACTTAATCGGTCTCTAGTACTTTCATTGTCCTAATTTTATTCTAGCGAAGATAATATTATATAATAATAATAATAATGTGGTATTATTATATAATATTATCCTCGCTAGAATAAAATTAGGACAATGAAAGTACCAGGACTACATAAAGTTGTAGATAGTTCAAAAGTCAAGATATCATAGTGATGGGTTGGCATAGACAAGGAATACTCTTCCTACGAGTAACTAATGGTAGATTTTAAAAACTCGTCCGCGTGTGTGCCTCAGTCTCAGCTATTTGAGCCGTCAAGCAGCTTGCTTTGTAAGCTGTTTGGTTGTAGGGTGCAGATTAGGCAGTGAAATTACAGGGTAAGAGGCGTGACAGCTTAGTACTCTGGAATGGGTACGCATGAGTGGTATAACGGGTGTATATGCATGTATATGAGTTACGATTACCATTTACTATAAGCCGGGGCGTATGGTTGTTTACTATATTCGTGTAGAATGTATAAACATAGTGTGATATTACAGAAAAAGTACCAGGACTACATGAAGTTGTAGGCAGTTTGATGGGATGTGCCAGTGAAATTACATATAGAACTTGAGTGATGACGGAGGAGTGGTATCACGGGTGTTATGATAATGATGTTCATAGTGCTGTTCATGTATATAGACGACAGTTACCACTTACCATCAGGTGGTACAGATTGTTAGTAATTTCATTTCATAAACACGTTTTATATGAAGTGCTTTTTACCTTTTGTGTACTGTATTACAAATATGAGTAAACTCTTTGTTACTGACTAACCACTTACGTCTTGTTTGCCATTCCATAACATAAATAAGTTAAACAGCAGGCAGCAGCCAGTGCCAGCGGTGCGGCGACCGGGGGGCCGCCCCGCACCACACTTGCAGTGCCGCCCCCGCACGCTAGATATGTACACCCCGGTATGTATTTACGCCGTTAGTTGTAATTGTATTTAATGATTACTATATTCCCAGATGGTCCTGGGTTCGATCCCCGCATAATGATATAATTCATAACTATATACATTTATATATTTACTAACTGTAAGCCGCGGCGTCGTCTGCTTTTATTTAGATATAATATATAATAATTATTTATTTCAGGCAACTAGGCCCTTATTATAAATACCTTATAGACTAACATACATATAATATAATATTTAAAAACTAATACAATGATATTGTCTGTGTGATCACGGTACTGAAGACGGTAATCTGCCACGGTAGCGCCGATATACCACACCTTTCGGCCAGTAGTCCTCTTTCATGAAGGTGGGCAAGTCAGTAGGGACCAGGGCCACACGTTTTGAAACTCGCGTTGTGACTCGACTTCGGCTGCGTCACCCTCAATGTCAGGTTACTCTTGGTACGAATATAATCGACAATGTCCTGCTCCTTAGCGGCGTAATGTAGACGGAACAGGTACAGTGTCGTGGTGGGTGTGGCAGCACGCAGGTAAATGATGGTACCGTGCGAGAAACCGAAGTCGGGACCATCGGAACTAAAGCAGTGTGCTGAACTTTTTTTTTTATAACACACGGGACAAATGAGTATGCGGCTCACCTGATGGTAAGTGATTACCGCCGCCCATGAGCACCCGCAACACCAGGGGAATTGCAAGTACGTTGTCGGCCTTTTAAAAAGGAATAAGCTCTTTTCTTGAAGGTTTCAATATCGTATCGGTTCGGAAATACCATTGCTGGAAGGTGATTCCACAATGTGGTTGTGCGTGGCAAAAAAAACTGCTAGACCACGAGGTCGTCAATTCCCATTTATTTAATGATAAATAAATGACCGTGCTATTTTCATTTCTAATGCCAATTATAATATAAGTATATTAAAATCTTAAGTGTATAAATATTTTTTGATTTGTGTAATATATATCAACTCTATGTACTAGTAAAAGTATGTATTATAATAAAATAACAACTATATAACATTAATTTAATTATATCTCTAATACAATTCACTTTAGCATTTAAAATACAATCAGCACATCCTGTGCACAAACAAACCGAATGCCGTGGCTTTTTTTTCGGACTACTCTAATGCTGTTGGCCGCAGCTGGCCTTTACAGCTTCACCGGACGATAGGAGGCGAGTGCTGATGGCACTCTAAACCTAAGGAAGGACTTATGGAGCGGCTGAAGGCCAACTCCTGCCCGACGGATACGACTTTAGTCTGAGGGCACCACTAGGGATTCGAACCTCGGCTCAGGCCGTCGTAATTTCGATCCCCGTTTGAATTGGACGGGGGATCGATCGGAGGGGAACAATGTGCGGCCCCAACTCGTTTATAAATACTGTTGCCTCCGCCCCCCACACCCCTGTAGTTTCGAAAATCCAGTCGTTCATCTCCAAGACCCCTTACTTACTTATTTAATGAAATTTAAGTTATTAATAAAAAAATTGTCTACTTAATATTGTTTTAAATAACTTGAATAAATAAGAATATCATCGTTCAATTCTCACTTAATTTATTTACCATAAAAATAAACAATAAATACTGTAACACGCCATATAACAGTCAAATGTGATGGGAATATCGATCGGAGGGGCTTACAAAAACCCACCCTTTTATACAGAGAAGATATGAGTGGGGGTTATATGCAACTAGTTTAACGATACCGAGTAATAATGAAACTACCTTCTTTTAATATAAAATATCAGATTTTCGACAATATCGATGTGAACCCTAACATTTGATGATTTTTTTTTCTAAAAGAGTATCATTTCAGATGTTATTTATTTACTAAATTGCTTGATGCTTGAAGTAGCTGATGTAATAAGGAGTAACTTAGGTTACTTTTATTTTAGAAAAATAAAGTTTAATTCCCAGCAGACGAAGTCGTGGGTGCAGCTAGTACATACATAATATACATAGTAAATATCCACATATATATATATATATATATTTACATAATACTAGCTGTCCCGGCAAACGTTGTTTTACCTTAAAATAACAAAAAAAATAGGGTGGACTACCCCTAACATTTAGGGGGATGAAAAATAGATGTTGGCCGATTCTCAGACCTACTCAATACGCTCACAAAATTTCATGAGAATCGGTCAAGCCGTTTCGGAGGAGTATGGGAACGAAAACTGTGACACGAGAATTTTATATATAAGATATATAATAAACTTTATCTGATTAAGATTTTTTGATTTTTTTTATTTTTTTATATATCATATGCTGGTGGTCACTCTATTCTCCCAAATTTGAATTTAAATGAAATAGTATTATTGTAAACATGTACAACATTAAAAAAAAATACGAGCTGAGTTTCTTGTCTGTTCTTCTCATCTCGAAATCATTCCGAACTGACGGTAGATTTGACATATCATAAGAGTCTGTAATAGACCTACATGAATAAAGATATTTTGAATTTGAAACTCACACATATACATACATATATACAACATATTGGAAGATTTCAGAAATAAATAGGAAAAAAACGAGAATCTATAGGGACAGATAATGAGACCTTAGACGATTTAGTTAGAGTACGAATTATCTTGTACAAAATATTGAAGTATATATCAATAAATGATTTTTGATTTGTTTTGATTTGATTTTCAGAAGCAGCACATCTGGCCCTTACCGCGGCAGATCTGGAACGCGAACGCGGCCGCCCTCTGTCGAAATACGAGCGTAACATGATGATATTCAATTGGTTACACACTCTAGACGAGGCTGCGCCCTTCTAGAACGCTCTAGAAGGTTACAGAAGTTGTTAAATGGACACAGAAGAATATGCCAGAATTGTCATTCTTTTCTAAATTCTATATAACTTATTAATATTAAATAAATGCGAAAGTTTGTGAGTATAGATGGATGTTTGTTACTCTTTCATGTAGAAACTACTGAACGGATTTTGATTGAACTTTACAGTTATATAGCTTATCAGAATAACACATGGGCTATAAATTTCACGCCTTTTTTTTTTATAACACAGGGGACAAACGAGCATGCGGCTCACCTGATGGTAAGTGATTACCGCCGCCAATGAGCACCCGCAACACCAGGGGAATTGCAAGTACGTTGTCGGCCTTTTAAAAAGAAATAAGCTCTTTTCTTGAAGGTTTCAATATCGTATCGGAATACACCTGTGAAACCGCGTGCTCAAACGCGATATAGAAAATGAATCAATATCTGTTGCTGTTTCACACAAAAATTACTGAACTAATTGGAAAGAAATTAAGTACACAGGTAGATCATATACTATATTAACATACAGCATACAGAACATTGTAAGTAAAAGTAAAGTTTTTGTTGTTACGAACAGATATACACGTTACGAAATCATGAAACATTGAAAACGCAGCGGCCTCAATACGGCGCATCGTACCATGCGCCGTAAAAACTAGGGCTGTAGACTTTTTATCTTACAGACAGTTTCCGCCTCATAACTGTATTGTTATATGTAAAGATGTTATTCACGTCTTTATCTATTGTACCAATTGTCCCTATTTAAGACTGTTTGTCCCTGAGCACATGTTTGTATTTAATTTTTTTTATTATAACGTGTTTGTGTGGGCCGCAATAAAAAAAAAATTAAATTATTCGATGACGAAAAAGGTTGCTCACTTCTGCTCAAGACCATTTGTCGAAAATCGTAAGATCGTAATTCATTTGAAGATTGTAAATCAATAGTTTAGGCGTGTTAAAGTAACAGATAAACAAACAAAATTACATTCGCATATATAATATTAGTACAGAATCGAGAAGAGGATAAAATAATGACAATTTTGACGTGAATTGTTGGAATATAACTTCTAGATATTTCTAGAAGACAAAAGTAGCTTCTAGAAGCTATGTATAGCTTTTTAAGCGATAATTTAATTTGACATTGTAATTATATAGCTAAAGGTGTTATTACATATTTGCAGACGTGCTTTTTACATTCCATGACTACTTCCAGTAATGTATAATATAAATTGTTAAAAAAAAACCCCGACGCAACGGTCAGATTGTTATGAAACACTAGCTTTGTCTCACGGCGGTGTCTGTACAATACAGTACATGTGATTCGCTGATTACATAGATTGGATCGTATTGGGAAGGAAATAAATAATAGTAAAATTGGTTAATTGAAAATATTCAGATGAAAGAATTTTTTATTGTTTATTGTGTAATTTATTTAGAAGTTATGCCCAATTTACATTCAGCCCGAGTGGGCAGGGAAGTGAGTAGCGCGAGAGTGTAAACACTTCCCATGCCATTGTCGGTTTTTCGCGAGTCAAAGGACTGGCGACAGCGCGAGTGGCAGCGTGTTTTTACATTCAGCCCTCTCGCTCAGTTGTCGCCCGGCAATTTCCGGCAGCGCGAGTGGCAGGGGAAGCGGCTGAATGTAAACGTAGCATTACAGACGTGAAGTTAGATCTCTTCCCAATATAATAGTGATTAAAACAAATGTAAACTATTATAGCACCAAAACTCTTTAGTAATATGTCAATCGGTTCTGTAGCAATGAGGTTTCATAAGTTATGTCTCATTTAAGTAAAAAAATGGCGAAGTGTGACATAGTGTGACAAAGTACGGAAGAAAGTGACATACCTCACATTTGTACACCCTATATTAAAATATTGAAACGCAAAAACTTTGCGTTTTAAACAAAAATCCAAAAGACATTTATAAAACTATGTGACATATTACAATATATGAGTGTCTTGAAGTATTTTGTATTGTCAAGATAAGTGTAACCGAAAAATGAAATGTTTGTATTTTACAATGGTATTTACGTGATGTTACAGACAAACATATAAACGAATCTTTGCGTCGGGGATTAAATATATTTTGTAAACGTTCTTTTTTTTTTTTTATTAATAATGGGATTGCGCTTGGTCTTACCTCATCTGATGGTAAATGATGGTAAGACCTAGGATGTAGCGCGCTAAACTAACTAAACGTTCATTGTGAATAATATTATACAAAGACTAATTATTATAAATATTCAACAATTTTGGAGGATTTCCATCTCAATGCAAATGATACTCTAAATTAATTGATATAATAGTCATTTTTCTGAGATCACAATCAGAAAATTAAAATAACAAGACAGTGTTACAATGACCTTTGAAACTGGATTGTTATTTTAAGTTATATATATGTATATATATATGCGTTCATTATTTATACGTGAAATTAGAAAAAAATCACGGGATTTTACCACTTTTTATTTATTTATGTTGAGTTCTCGATTGGTATTTGTGTTATTTTTAATTTTAAGTAAATTACTTAATCGTTTGCTTTTAAGAAATTTTAAATAGCAAGACAGTTTTACAGTGACCTGTAAGACTGTCTTGTAAGTCTAATATTCTTATTTATACAGGCTTAGTCGTAAATCGGGAAGGAGAAATCTCATGAACGTGACAAGATGTGACAAAAACGGTCACACTTTTATTTATTTTTTAGAAAATGTATTTTGTGTCACTCTTGATGTATGGCACCATACAAATTAAGATAATATATCGACAAAATAATTTATTGATGTATTCTAAGAACAGAAATTTTATTTATTTTCTATTCAGGAGGTTGCTTCAAAGTTTTAATATTATGAATATGTGACAGTTGGTTATTAATATTACAGTATTATAACAAAATGCACAAAAATGTATACAAACGAACCGCTTATACTGTTATTTTTGATCCAATAATGACTTGCAGTGGCGTAGCTATTTAGGGGCTATGCGGGGCAGTGCCCCGAGGCCCTCAAGTTCAGGGGCCTTCGAACCCTCGACAGAAAATCTCGATCAACTGAACTAAACGTACGAAAAATTTTAATTTTTCGTTCGTTTAGTTCGTTTGTTTAGACAGGTTGCAACCCAACTTTAATCATGGCTACTCAGTTGAGAGAAATTAGAAATATATACCTTCGGAATTTCCCGAAATTCTTTCTGTTGCTTGGCAGTGTTGTCAATTTGACGGATGGCGATATATGGGTTTTAATAAAACTGTAATATAGGACACGACTGCTGAGCAGTGGGATCCTATATTACTATTGTTGATTTGCCCCAGGGCCCTTGGTTACCTAACTACGCCACTGGTCTTTTGTGATGAGTCTGCGTTCAGAATAAGTGGTAGAATAAAAAAATACGACTATCCTCAAAAGTGCTTATTTGACTTTATGTGAATAAATATAATTTCTACGTAAGTAGCAACTTTATATGAAGAATATTGTCATTAATTTCGTATAAAATAAACTTTTACGACTTATCTTTGATGGGGTAGTCAGTGAATCAACTTTCGATTTTGTGAACGCAACACTTGACATGTCCACATTTCGCTCGGTATATATGAAGAAAAAAAAACATTACTCCAATAGAATGTTAGTAGCCTCTGGACTATTCGCGAGTCATGTTCTCCTGGTACTTTCACTGCAGTATCGGTAATAGTAAGGTAACTTCACGACTGTTATCTTTGATGGGGTATTCAGAGCCATTGTCGACTGTCGATGTTGTGAACGCAACACTTGACATGTCCACATTTCGTTCGGTATAAATGAAGAAAAAAAAACACATTACTCCAATAGAATGTTAGTAACCTCTGGACTACTTGCGAGTCATGTTCTCCTGGTACTTTCACTGTAATATCGGTAATAGTAAGACAACTTCACGAGTGTTATCTTTGATGGGGTAGTCAGAGAATCAACTGTCGATGTTGTGAACGCAACACTTGAAGTTATATCCACATTTCGCTCGGTATATTTGAATACAACGGGGCGAGTTTCCTGCAGTCTGTACTATAATTTAGTGATTAAAATATTTAAATTATGTGATTGTGATATGGTTCAGGTATTGTGCTTATATGTCCCTGGTTATTAACTGTTTTAATGTGACCATGTACCATTAATGTTTAACAACTGCCTTGATGACACCAAATTTTAAATTTGTAATCGATAATATATAATTAATTAGACATTTATACAGAACTATCCATAAGTTACGTCGCTCAAAATTATATATTTTTTACAATCCTAGTCACAGTCTGTCATATATGATGATGTGACGCTCCCCGTCTCTAGTGTTACGAACTATATTTTATAATTATACATCTAAAAATTATAAAATTAACAAACATTTTCATGATATTTTATACCATTGTCACAGACGGTTCCTCTGCCTAGTGTGACGAATTACGTTTTACAATTGAACATACAGAAAGGATTAAATTAAAAAACAACATTTTTATGCCTTTTTGTCATCCTTTTCACAGTCTGTCACATTTGTAACGACCTATATTTTACAATGAAACATCTAGAAATGATTAAATTATCAAACAACAACCTATTTTTATCTGTTGATTAATTAAAGCTACTCACACTCTTTGTCACACTATGTCACACTTTATCGACCCCCTCCCGTAAACATGTGACGTAATTTATGGATAAACCCCTTGTAAATATTATACAAAAGTGAAGTGTTGAATTGCATTAGACTGTTAGCCCAATATACGTGTGTAAGGACAAATAACGGTCTGAATTTGATCACCAATAGAGAAGGTCGTGACGCTTCCAGTAGCGGTGGTCAGGTTTCCACACTGAATATTTGTGGTCTCACACATGATAATGATAGCGGAATTAAACAAAATAATATAAATATATTAACCTTTCGAATGTCTGTCGTATGTCGCAGCGACCGAAAGTGAAGAGGCGGTATGAGCGCGCCAGCTGTATTTTCTCAAATACATTTCGATCTTATTTCGTTTTAAATAAGGATTAAATTTGTTAAAAAGAAGACACGGTTGCGGGCACAGATCTGTGGCAAGACGGTAATACGGTTTAAGAGGGGTGCACAGATCTGTGACAAGACTGTAAAACGGTTTAAGAGGGGCGCACAGATCTGTGACAAGACGGTAAAACGGTTTAAGAGGGATGCACAGATCTGTGACAAGACCGTAATACGGTTTAAGAGGGATGCACAGATCTGTGTCAATACGTTCGAAGGGTTAAGTAATGAAATGGACTTCCGCAAAATAACACCTATGTAAATTGATAAAATATATAAAATATGTGTTGCAAATTGAATATAAGTGTTAATAAAATATGTACCTATTTTGGTGTGAATTGGTACCCATAGAAGTTCCTAATATTTGGTTTAATAATTTATTCCCATCACATTTGACTGTTATATGGCGTGTTACAGTATTTATTGTTTATTTTTATGGTAAATAAATTAAGTGAGAATTGAACGATGGTATTTTTATTTATTCAAGTTATTTAAAACAATATTAAGTAGACAATTTTTTTATTAATAACTTAAATTTCATTAAATAAGTAAGTAAGGGGTCTTGGAGATGAACGACTGGACTTTCGAAA